GGACCGGCGCTCGGGAACCCTAGGGACCCTCTGCTGGGCGCTGTGGGAGTCGCGTCCGTTCTGGGCGCGCAGCGCAAGGAGGGCTTTTCTCCCCGGGACGCTGGAGCCATGCTTGGGGCTGTACGGATTCGTGGGAGAAACGGGAGTAATGTTACTGCGCTGGTGACTTACAGACACAAGAAACTGACTTCTTGAGCACTTTAGAACACTTTTTAGTATTGGTTTATTACTTACTTCGTGCACTATCAGCAGTCATTACTACATAATATTTAATATATGGGGTGACCAACTTGCCCCATTTTGAAGTGAACTTCCCAGTTTTAGTATTCTAAGTCCCAGTTCCCTTCCGGGCCAACGGGCACGGCTGACCATTCCTTTTGTCCACTTTCTTCAACCTGCAGGTAGAGCACTGGTCATTACTGGAGGACAGAGCCTGCAAACCTGTGAAGCTGATTTTTTAAAAAGTACTGGGCATTGAACCCAGGGCCTTCACACTAAGATATATCCCCAGCCCTTTCTAAGTTTTTATTTTAGAGACCGGCGTCTGGCCAAGTCCCTAAATTACCCAGGCTCATTGTCCTACCTCAGCCTCCCAGGATGCTAGGATTGCAGATTCTTCATTGCAGTCTTTGACCAAAAAGAGTATTGACCCAGTCTTAAAGCTATGAGAAATAGCTAAACACAGAAAGCAAGCATGGTGACCTCAGGCAGGGGATAGGCCAGCAGCTTTTGAATCTACGGAGCTGTTTTGCTGTGCATATTAAGAATAATGGGTTATAACAATAATAGAGTTATAACAGAATAATGAGTTCCAAGACTGGAGAATTTTGGTCAGAAGTAAATTCTGGATTCCTACTGCTGCAGGTCTGGCCTCATCACCTCATGGGAAAGTTATTCAGTAACCCTTTCCTCATGAGTCCTGAGTCAGAAAATAGGAAAGGTAGTTAACACCTTTTTTGGGGGCAGAATTAACTCTAATAAAATACTAGCTGTTCTCAAACCTAAATATTCATGTATTCTGCTTATGGAATGTTTATTCTTGATGTATGTGAAAAAAATTCTGGAGGTGCAGGCCTGTAATACCATCTGCTCAGAGGCTGAGTGGGAGGGTCATAATTTCCAAGCCAGCCGGGACAGGAGAGGCCCTCTCAAAATAAAAATCACCGTAGAGTGGGAGATGTGAATGTAGCTTAGTGCTACTTAGAGCTCTTGCCTAGCATGCTGGACACCCTGGGTTCGATCCCCAGTACACTTAAAAAAAAAGTTTGGGGTTGAAGCTGATTGGTCTTGAAAATATTAAAATGTTCAGAAATACGTAAAAATTAAATATCCAACAAAACCAGGAAGGCATTATAAAGCCAAAATATTTTATTTATGCCTCATACTATTAGTCATTGGCTATGATTTCGTACTGTTCAATTTTCAGCAGTTAAGTATATGCCACCATTCAATTCCCTCGGTTGCATATAATGTTTACCTGTATTAAGTTCATACTTCAGTTATGCTTCATAAATTATGTTTGACCTAGAAGGGATTGTGCTGTAGGTAAAAGAAGCCCACATAAATTAAAATAGAATTTTTTTCAGGTATAGGATTGTTACAAAGTACAGACAAGAACCATGCAGATCTTAAGTGTCTTAGAGGATATAAACTGCTGCTTTTTTATTCTTTTTTTTCCTCCCAGTGCCAAGGACGGAAGGTGACCAGTGCCAATGTTGAGCTGAATTTGGCCCCAGCCAACCACTCTTAGCCAATGACTGTGTCCTTCTCTGATCTTCTATTCTTGCCTGCATTGGTGTAGTCACCTGACTGATCTCTCAGCCTTAATTTGGCCTCTGCATACCTCTTATCTTGCAAGATAAAGTTTACTTTTCAGCATATTCAGTCCTATCAGATTTGCTACTTTAAATCTTTCAAGTACCCTAGGGCTGAACCCTGCCCAGCTCTAGCACCCGAGGGGTGCACTTCACATTCCTCAGGGCCAGTGATGTCAGCCTTTGGCTACCTCAGTCCTTCCCAGTCCTGCCCTAACCCTAGCTCACTGAAGACCTCAGATGTGCATACTTGTCTTGTAACACTTAATGTTTTCTGTCCTTCCCTTCTCTACAAGTACTTCATACCTAAACTGATCTTCATCTCTCTCTTTGCCTTCCCAACCCCACCTATCCCTCATCAGGGGAAATGATTTCTCTCATCTTTGTGCCATAGGACTTGATTTCCTTTGCTTACCACTTACCCCAGTGCACCTCATGGCATGTTTAATGTCTTTCCAGCTCCCAGAATTTTCATTTTTGTTTCTCTTTCCAGTCTGGCCCTACATGTAGTGGATTCTCAAATATTGGTTGAATGAAAGTTCATTCTTAAGTAAATGTAAAATATATTTCCACATTATCATTTGCTATTAAAGGTATCACTGAAAGTTTGTTCATAGGATAAGCAAAATGTGTGTTTATATGTAGTCACTATGGTCTAAGCTTTGAATGTTTTCCCTAAAACTGTTATGGCGAAATGAAAACTTGGATTCTAAAGTGTGTGAGAACCAAATTCCTCTTCGAATCTAAGCTGATGGTTTCTCTTTCTTTATCAGACGCTTTTCCTTCCGTCCAGAACCAGATCCTTACTGTCAAGCTAAGTACACGTTCTGTCCCACTGGCTCGCCAATCCCAGTTATGAAGAATGATGATGTCATTGAAGTCTTTCGACTACAAACCCCAGTATGGGAATTTAAATATGGAGACCTTCTAGGACATTTTGTAAGAATGTGTCTTAATCTTGTAACTTCAGTTAATTAAATGATTTAGTTATTAAGTTGACAAGCTAGTATTCAGACTAAATTTATCGATTTACCCTTAGAATATTAAATGAGTAGTCAAATAGTCATCAGATTTTGTAATCCTGACAGTAACCAATGCATTTACTTTAATACCTTTTAATGTTACAAATCTGAACTTACCTATTATACCCAGTTCTTGGAAAATGAGCAGGGAGGACATGTATGAGAAGCAAGGCAGGCAGGCAACACTTCTTGACTTCACTTTTCTAGGGCAGTGTGTAACTCTGGGAGGTATACTGAGTGTTCCTAGAACTGTGGCATGCAGGCTTTTTGTACTTATTTTGAAGGGTAAGAAAATGACTTATGTTTCTAAACATAGCACATACCCCTCCTATCTAAGATAATAAGAGGCCGGAAGCAAAGTGGATGAAGGCCTGGAATTTGAGAGACCACAGAGGAACACAAGAGTAGTGACACAGAAGAGGAACAGTTGAACAGTTGTTTTTCACAATATACATTTGTAGTATATCATGTTCTCTCCCATCAACATACCTGGACTCATTAGTTACTTCATAGATGCTTTCATATGCATGTTATCTTTATACAGAAAATTATGCATGATGCCATTGGATTCAGGAATACCTTAACTGGCAAAAACTACACAATGGAATGGTATGAACTTTTCCAACTTGGCAACTGTACATTTCCCCATCTCAGACCCAAAATGGATGCCCCTTTCTGGTGTAATCAAGGAGCTGCCTGCTTTTTTGAAGGAATTGATGATGTCCACTGGAAGGAAAATGGAACATTAGTTCTAGTAGCAACCATATCAGGTAAGTTTAAAAAAATATGCCAGTATTTGATGATTGTACCAGTATGCAAATGAAAATTATTTCCTTAAAGACATTTCAGTAATGTTCTACTTCTTAGAGATCATCTATAAAATGCTCTTCTGGAACTCTTTCACAACTTCACTTGCAGGTGATAATGTAGTTTATCTCTTGCTCTAGTCTATAGAAAGAAGAAAAAGAATGAAATAACATGCTTTGTAAAATTAAACTGGACTTTCTAAATATAGTGTTCACAAACTCAACTCTTTCCACAGTTCTGGTGGCAAACTGAATTTGACTAGAGCTGAATTATATTTCCTCATAAGATCAATAGTGAATCTAACCACTAAACGATGTAGTTCTCATCTTTCTCTCTCTTTTTTTTTTTTTTTTTTTTTTTTTTTTTTTTTTTTTGGGGGGAAGGTACCGGGAATCAAACTCGGGACCTTGTGCTTGCGAGGCAGGTGGTGGAACTTCTGAATTAAATCCCTGGCCCTCACATCTTTTTTTTTTTTTTATTCTTTTTTTCTCTTTTTTTTTTTTTTTTTTTTTTTTTTTTTTTTTGGTACCAGGGATCGAACTCTGGTCCTTGCCCTTACAAAGCAAGCGGTGGAACCACTGAGCTAAATCCCTGGCCCTAGTTCTCATCCAATTCTATTTGTGACCAGAATTGTGGAAACAGTACTTCATGAACCAAGGTACCACTGTAAAACAGTAAAGAAAAATCCCTAAAGTGCCCAATTAAAGGCCCTATTAACTGTCTAAAAACACTTTTAAGTGATGATATATTAAAATATTTTCATGTTAAGTAATAGTTCCTACTCATACAGACTTAAAAGCAGGCCACGCTCTGAGTGCTATATATGTGTCATCATTTACCATCACAAGAGTCCCTGAGATAGTTATTTTCCCCTTGTAGAAAAAGTTACATGGAGAGAGGTTGAAGTTATACAGTTAAGTAACTCCAAAATATATACAATATATAGTCTTTCATATTTGAGGCTCTCTTGAGCAACTTAAATATTTTCTCTGAGTTTGTCTATGCTTTTGGATGTATTAGAAATTTGGTAATGCAATTGAAATTTTGTGTGTGCTGTGTTACTGGTTAGTGATGAAAGGAGTTCAGCAGGGTTTTCATCAATAGCTTGTTGACACAATGCTTCACGCATAGAATGCTACCATCATATTTTAGAAGAATTTGCCCAAGGCCATTCACAGATCTTTACATTATAAATTGATGCACCCCAATCTGGAAACATCAGAAACGAAGTCACTGTTTGTAGTAGTAATAATCATTTGCTGGATCCCAGAAAATTTATCAGGCTTTTTAGCTTTTACAAATCCCTTTAAAGCATGTTTACTTGTAATTCTGTAGGGAGAGTAAGACACCCTATGTTTTTTTACACATAAGGAATTGAGGATCAGCCAGGTAATATATGACTTACTCAGTCATAGAGCTAGATATAGCAGAACCAAGGCTAGAATTGAGATCCTGTCAATGTTACTTGGGAACCTCTTAACAGAAAACAGGGCAATTTTGATTTCCCTCCTATTTTTAAATCAGTGTGTCTGTCCCAAACCATCCCAACAATATGGAAGTCCATCTCTTTCCACAGTGGTCAGTAAAATAAATAACTGCTTTCTTTCCAAGCCAGTTCACATCTCTTATTTCCATTTCCACCTACATTATCTGAGACTTTCTTCTGACCTACATTGATCATATGAACAAGTAATCCCTGTTTTCTGTAATGTATTCTGTAATATGATACTACTTAAATCTTTTAAGTTGTCCATCTGACTTGTGATCATGTTCTGTCAGTGACCTTTTCTTCATATTACAACTTGGTGTTTTGAAGTACAATAGTGTCGTATCTCTTAAGTATAGCAGTAGCTTTTCAAAGTTGAATAGTAGGAACAGTGCCTCCAGGTCTAAGAAAACAGGCTTTATATACTTCCACAATTTAAATTCCATTAAATGGATAAAGGCAGACACTCTTCATTTCACAGAACACGAAGTATTTATTTTATGGACACAAGTTGGAGTAGCCAAAGAAAGGTTTGTATACAATGACAGAGTGAAATATTGAAGCCTAGCTCTGTTGAGCATTATAAATGCCCAGGTAAGGGTTGCACCCATGTAGAGCATGTTTCTACATATTTGGAAAGAGGCTTTTGGTCTGGTATAAAGGGTAGTAGCAGAGAGAGCTGGCAATTATGGAGTCTGTAGAGGTTGGCCAAAAACATTTCCTTTGTGGTTGGTTCTTTGAAGAATTTGGTGGGTGGGTGAAGTCAGCTGCATTCCAGCAGCTGCAAGTACAGGGGAAAAGGGGATACCACGCATTCAAGGCGGGTCAGCCTTCTGGTGCAGCTGCTTCTGGCATTTATTGCTGGTTGAATCCCATACTTTGTAAGAGAAAAGCACAACTTTTACCCTTCTATTTTTCTGAGTGTCTTTCTGCTCATTCATCTCCTCTTCCACAATTCCTTCTTTGCTTTCTTTCCTTTTCGGACTTTGAATCCAAAATTTGAATAGCATAAAGAGCTGCTGCATTTGTATAATCTCCCTTTTGACAATAGCTTAAATGATTTTAGGATTAATAAAAGTTCTCTTTATATGCTTATATGTAATGTTTATAATTCAGCAGTGCCTTAAAGAACAGAATTAAAGGGCCAGGGGGGCCGGGGATTTAGCTCAGTGGTTTGGTGGCCTGCCTTGCAAGGGCAAGGACCCGAGTTCAATCCCCGGTACCGAAAAATAAATAAGTAAATAAATAAATAAAGGGCCAGGGATTTAGCTCAGTAGTACCACGCCTGCCTCACAAGCGCAAGGTCCTGAGTTTGATCCCTGGTACCAAAAAAAAAAAATTAAAATTGGCTGAGCTTGGATTACTGTTCATACAGGTTTTGTTTTCTTTTTAAACTAGGAAACATATTTAACAAGATGGCAAAGTGGGTGAAACAGGACAATGAAACAGGAATTTATTATGAGACATGGACTGCCCAAGCCAGCCCAGAAAGAGGGGCAGAGACATGGTTTGAGTCCTACGACTGTTCAAAATTTGTGTTAAGAACATATGAGAAGTTGGCTGAACTTGGAGCAGAGTTCAAGAAGATAGAAACCAACTATACAAGAATATTCCTTTACAGTGGAGAACCTAATTATTTGGGAAATGAAACATCTATTTTTGGGTCAACAGGAAATAAGACTCTTGCTTTAGCCATAAAAAGATTTTATTACCCTTTCAAACCACACTTGTCAACTAAAGAATTTCTGTTGAGTCTCATGCAAATTTTTGATTCAGTGATTATGCACAGACAGTTCTATTTGTTTTATAATTTTGAATATTGGTTTTTACCTATGAAATTCCCTTTTGTTAAAATAACATATGAAGAAATTTCTTTACCTAACAGACACAAAACATTCCCTTGTTTATAAAACCTTAATTCTGTTTACTGCTTTTTTCTCCAACCACCAGCATCTGTTTTTTTAGGGGGTGATTTTATATTTGTGTATTTCTTAGCCTCTCTTCCTCAGCAGAATGGTAAAATGCACATTGGTAGAATTGTTGCATATTAAAATCTCAAGACTATTTTTGGAAAGAAGCTGAAATTCTTATTGGCTAAAGTGAACATATTAAGTAATTCTGATTTCAATTCCCAAGCCTCTCAGGTATGGAGAGCAATGGTTCATGTCCAATATGTATGTTTTTTTGGTTCCAATAGTGACATTTTGATGGTAGGTGCTATTTTTTCTAGTACTTAAACATTTTCATATAAGTGTTTTGGTAGTTTATACCTATTTTATTACCTTTATAACATTTGAAACTAGACCTAGTACTCCAATTGTGTTCTAGTCACTGTGTGTGTATGTGTGTGTGGTACCGGGGATCGAACTGGGGACCTTGAGCTTGCAAGGCAGGCCCAGCACCACTGAGCTAAATCCCCAGGCCTGAAAGATGTATTTGAAAGGAGAACAGAGATGGAGAAATTTTGCTAGCATATGTAGTAAATAGTGTTAAAAGCAAAGATTCTTTCTAGTTCATAATTTTCTAGTTTGTAATTGGTTTTATGATTTAAACAATTTAACATCACTATACCTTAGTTTTCTGATCTCTAAAATGAATCATGTTTGGATTGTTGTAAAGATTAAAGTCATGTATGTTTGGCATAGTTAGGTCAGAGTGAATGGTGACTGTAATGATTAATCAGTGTTACCTCTGATCTTAAGTTACATGCCAGCTCTCCTGGATTTTGTAATCATCCAGACTTTGAGCTCTGTAATACTTAAGTAGTTCTTTAGCCATCTGGGGCATGGGATTACCTGGCTGCAGATATGTCTGAGTAAAGAGATACTTCTAACTCCTTCCCTGTTTTCTGTAGTCCTCCATTCTCCCACAAATGCTGTCAGTGCTGTGGAAGAGGGTATATTTTGCAGAGAAAAGACCTCCAAGTCACTGTGTTCATCTTAGAGACGCCAAACAAGCTTTCAAGATACTTTAAGTATGTTAGGATCAACTGAATGCCACTTTTCCTATTCATGAAAAATACATGTGTAAGAGGGAGCTCAGAGGAAACAATGTTTCATATGTAAATGGACCAATTATATTCTTCAGTTTCAGCTAACATTTGACTGCTTCCTGAGAGGTTAGTACATTATTGAGCTGTCATAAAAGCCTCATCATTGTTTACCTCATCCACATGATTAAATCAGGGTATACAAAGGTCAAGTGATCTTTCTATGGCTACCCACCTATTAGCCAGATAGTGAATTCAAGTTCTGCTGATGAAATTAGATACAAGTTTTTCAGGGTTATTGTTGCAACAGTATGGTCCTTGGACCAGTGCCTGGCTACCAAATGTTACTGGTCTATAAAACAAGTGGAGCTACTGATCGGAAACATTTTGAAACTTTTAAAGCACTGTTATTCTGTTGAATCAATTTTTTAAAACTCTGGAGCTTGTACTTTGTCTTTGTTATTTCATTTGTCTAGGCATTTTTTATTGTTTTTCAAGTGTAGGCAGGAGTCTGAAAATAAACTCAGTCTCGCTTCAGTAGCACAGCATGACACCATTCTGCCTAGTCTTCCTCAAAAGCACAGGGAGAATTTTTTTCCACTGCCCCTCACTTGGCCTACAGTGCCTATACTATTCCTAAGTAGGGTAACCTCTTTAACCTGTCCTTGGAATATGCCAAGAAACTGGCTCTTCGCATTATCACCATCTAGTGGCTAAACTCAGGCAATACCAGCTATTACCAGATTCCTGACTGCAGTGGTGAGTTATTCTGGATTTGCAGATTTGCACTCCATTGACAAGCAAATATTCTTGTACTGTTTGCATTAACTGCAAATCTCAACTTGGTTCTACAACAAAAATAAAGATCTTTCTACATGGAACTTGGCTTTTGAAGTAGGATTCTATGTCATAAAGTACTGAAGATTTTTCATTATTCCTAATACTAATAAATGAGATTTTATCAAAGAACTATATAGATTCAGATAGCAACAGCAGAGAGAGCCTAGCATTTACATATGAAACTGTCAAGTATATTTACAAGATGAAATAGAACCTTCAAGCAGAGATGATCCAAAAATACGCTTTCAAATGGTAGTTGGGAAATCAAAACAAGCCTGGGCAGGAATCTGCCAATTAAATTTGGCTACTTTTTGAGCTACTGTATAACTTATACGGGATTTCTATTATGTTGTCTAATTATAAATATATAAAATTTCTAGGAGAAAATTTTAAGTTTGACTATGACAACTTTAGAATAAATATGTCCTTGGGCTGGGGATTTAGCTCAAGGGCACAGCACGCCTACCTCACAAGCACCAAAGTCCTGAGTTTGATTCCTGGTACCAAAAAAAAAAAACCAGAATGAGTATTCCTAACTCGTTAGTGTGGCCCAGTATCAGGTAAGTTACCTATAAAGTGTTTATCTAAACATTGTTTTGGGTAGAAAAGAACAGTCAAAAGGTGAAAATATTAAATATTTGGAGCCCTCAGTATTGACTCCATGTTAAAAATCAGAAATAAAATTACAAATATTAGGGAGGTATTCTCAAGCTTTGTAAGTCTGCTCTGTTGGCACTTAGTGAATAATAAATTCTTTGCAAGTTGTTATAAATCAGTGTTCTAAAACCTTGTGTTTTTCCCTGTCCAAAAGGGAAATAAGCTGGAAATCAAGCAGTCTTGTACTCTTCAAACTTATCTTTTCTAGATTTTTCTCTCTCCTATTTAAACATTAAAATTAAAGACATTTTCCTTTTATTGGACTGAATATTCTGAGAAGTGCTTCATTCAGAGTATATAACTTTGTATCCTTTTTTTTTCTAAAGGAAGTTGGACAGTCATCAAGCAGGTGGGATTTTCCTGACTGGTAACATTAAAGTTAGCTCTACAGATAAACTGGGGTTTTTAATTTTTTAATACAAAAAGTTATTTGTAGACTGCAGTAAGTAATTTTCAATCATGCTTTTTAAAAAAAATATTAAAATAGCCTAAACTGCTCACATAAACTGAAGATGTTTTCTGAAATGCACTGCCAGGAAATGAAAACTATTTCTATAAAGAGGCTAGTTGGATTTTTTATGACTAAGGATTCTATTTCGAAATAAATTGCTTTATATCCCTCATTTTAAGTACAGAAAAAGCCTAATTAACCATTTTCAATATGATTTTTAAAAATTAATACTTATAGTTCATGTAAATTTCATAGGCATCAGAGCTGATTTCAAGAGAAGATTCCAGATGTCTAACATTTTATCTTAAATCTATCATAAATGTTTAATAGTAAACATTATACACCCATCAAAGGATTTGAAAAACCATAAATGTGTGAATTTCACCAGTTTTAATGTCAAGTCTATATGTTCGGGAAGTTTTAAAAAATTTAATACAACAGCATTAGTAATTATTACCTTTTTTAGGGGGTACCAGGAATTGAACTCAGGACCTTGCGCTTGCGAGGCAGGCAGTGGCACCACTGAGCCAAAATCCCCGGCCTCCATTAGTAACTATATTCTCAAGTTGATAAAAGCATTTAACATATTTTACAGTATAAACACATTAAGTGCTATGTATTTTGCTTATAAAGTGACTTAGGTATTTCAAGCATTATATAATTTGTACAAAAAGTAAATTTTCAAATAAAGTTTTGGTTAGAACTGATAATGTACTATAAAATCCATTTTCCAAAGTTAAGAAAAAAAATCATTAACATTGTATTTCTTGCACAACCCTTTTTACTAAATTATTTAGTAAGAGAAGAAATATTACAATAATTTCTTTAGTTTTCAAGTCTATCAGCCTTAATCTCAATTATATGTGGCTGAAAGATAGAATATGATCACTTTTGAAAAGCATGTATCACATAGAAAATAATTTTTTATGTTCTTTAGGAAGGTCATCTATATTTTTAGACTGTTATCTAAATACAGTCTATTATCTGATACAGCTATTTCAAGCATGTGTTCCATTAGAGGTAAATCTCTTCTAATTTTCCTTAAGCTAGTATCTAGTAGCAGTAGTGTCCAGAATCAAAGTTTATAGTATCTAAAAATCAAACCCAACTAAATTATAATGTATGGGTTTACCTTTATTTATATGAAAGTAATATAAAACACTACTTAAATAATACCAGTTTAACCAAATTAACAAATCACAAAACTGCAAATCTTTCTATTAAAATTTTCCAGTTCAGTGAGCAACATTTACTCAAAACAATGATTAGGAACTTAAATATCTTTTGAATTTACCGTTTATGCTGAACTGTGTGCTGGCATTCCTTTTTTATTTAAAATTCTACTTACATAACTATACAATTCAAAAATGGAAAAATGAGCCATCACTAAAATTCACTGGAGACTATTTTTCTTGGAAACAATTCATAAACATTTTAAATTTCTATCCTTATGTCAACTGGCTTTTTAAAATAGATAAGCTTTTCATTTCAGTTATTGAATAAGACTTAAAAACTAAACAGCAAGGTCCCGAGTTTGATCCCTGGTACCAAAATAAAACAACAACAACAAAAAAACAAACTAGTTTAAACAGATAAAACCAAGGAGAACTGGTAAGGCATTCCTTATTTTACTTACAGTGCCTCAAGTGCCACACACAAAGTAACATATCACAAAAGAGAACTTACACGATTTTGCAGATTATAGAGGAAATCTAAAAGTTTATACAAAGCTAAATACCTGCCTCCCTTCTATCCCATTTATTTTAATTTGATCTTGGCTCTGTGTGTTGTCTTTCTACAATCACTGTGTGACATTTAACAGTTTTCTAAGTGTTCCAATTATATACACTCATTTTAAATAGGCTTGTAACATTTGAGAACATTCAACCAACTTTTTTCATTAGATACGATACTGTATATCCTACATTATTTCTCACAAAATGCTCACTTTCCTGAGCTATATTAAACACCTTATAACAGGTGTATGTATAACTGAAGACCCTAAAAATGTCAAGTTTACATTTTTTAAAAAATGCATAGAGAACATAACATTTCAAAAAACCTATAAGCATATACTTGTTGGATATTATATAGGTTTTTATTTCCATAAGACTGAATTGTTTACTCTCTATAACTAGTTATTACTTTCAACTATGAAACACTTTTTTCTTGTACTTTTCAGAGATTTAATTGCTATTAAACTAAAGAAACAAATGGAGTTTTCCTGACCAAAACTTATTCATAGGTCTTCCAATAAATAATCCGTGTATATTCACTGGAGATAGCAATTTTTGTGCCACAAAATATAGAATTAGAACTATAGCAAATAAACTTTTATTACAATACATTTGTTTAAGTTAAGATGGTATTCATCATGCCCTAAAATGGTTCTTACCAAGTGGGCATCATGTCAGGAAACCACACCCTACCAAGATGCTTGGACACTTCCCAGTGAATCTGCTCCAAACTATACTTTTGGTCAGGAATTAATACTTCTTCCATAATGGACAACTGAGACAAGCGACCACCGCACATCTTCACAAACTCAACAAAGGCACTACATGAGACTTCACATTCCCCTAGTCCAATAGCTGACAAATTTTTACAACGTTCTGCAATACGAATTAACTCTTCATCAAGTGGCCGTAATCCATTAGCACACACTACTAGTTCAACTAGTCTAGGGCAAGTCATTCCCACACGGCCAAGCACATCTTTGCTTACTGATCTCCCAAAGTAAAGATGAGTAGCAGGTATTTCATAACGAAAGAATGGGTCAAATTCCTCTTCATATAAAAAAAAATACATAACTAAGTTAACTTTGGGTGAATGTTTGATGAAAGCATCCCAGCTGCTCTTCTGGATAGTATGGAAGTGTGTCTGTCCAGGATTCTCACTGACTACATCAATACGCAAATGTTCTAATCGAACATGTTTTTCAGAAGACAGAGCAAGTAGCAATTCATCACTTAGTAAGTGGTAGTTCAGAGCCAGTTCTCGTAAGCCATGACATTGATCAGCCACACAAAGGATACCTTAGGGAAAAAAACCATAATAATTATTTATAAGTTTTTGTACAAGTTTGTTCAAAAAATTTAATCAAGTGCATATACCACAAAAATACAATTTAAAATTTAGCTGTACAGCTGAATTAGAAGGTAAGTAACAATTTAAAAGCTATTACTAATTCTGTCTACAAGAAAATGAAACTAATTCTTTAAAACTCAAGCTCATTTTTAACAATTCAGATAACTGTCATTTAAAAAAATCTACCATGACTAAGATATACTCTAATAGTGCAAATGCAATGCCATATTTTTTTAAAATATACCATTAACACTAAATATACATTTTTTAAAAATTACCACTGTAAAGACCAAAGGATATTTTCTTTGGAAACTCAAAACCTAATTCTAACATAAAGGAGGATAAAATATAACTATAGAAAACTATCATTTATGTAACTGAACATTTATGAAGTAAAAAATCCCACAAACCAATAGTGTTTAACTGATAATAGTATATCAAATTTCTAAGGGCAAAAAAGTTCCATGATATCAGTAGCTAAATGGGTCAAGGATAATCACTTGATTCACAGGAATGGAAACACATTATGACTTTTGAAGCTCTAACACATCCAGAAAGCAGCTCCTTCAATAATTCCCTAAATTCAGGAAACAATGTTTTTCCACAGCTATTTCCCCAGCAACAGATGACTTTATCAAAGGTCAATACTTTAATCTCCAAAGTAAGTTCAGTATAAGAATTCTGCCCTAGAGTAACGACTCTATACTACCTAATAACCCAATCAGCCCATTTCTTTATGTTCTTATGTTTAGAAACAAGAATAAGTATACAAAGCATACATATTTTCATCTATTTATTTTACAAGTACTGTGTAATATACAGGTACTAAATGTTATCCCACAACTACTTAAAAAAAAAACTAAAAAACTAGACATTTTTATTATGATACTGAGGCAGCTAGCAAAAAGATAGTAAAGCGTAACACAAACAGGGTAAGTGACTCTTTAAGTTTATGCACCTAAGAAGTGACATAACAAACACCATCATTAAGCCAAAGCTTTATGGCACTGGAATGAGAAGACAAGCAATACAATCAGAAGAGATAAACCGAATCAACAGTAGAGTCAGAAGAGGGAGTAATGGACCGCTATGCTTCACTATTTAGCCACTGCAAGTTTCTGTTCTTCACAAGGGATATGGAGATACACACACACACACACACACACACAGCGTGAGTGTGCATGCACACACATGCATGCGCTCCCTGATTACCCAAGGTAACCTGAGTACATCTCTCGCTGTTTATAATATCAAAAAGCTTAATATAAAGAGAAAGCAAACACATGGAAATTGCAAAGGAGCAAATTAAGAGAAACTTTGCAATGCCCTTTAACAACTACTAAAGCAATTTGGCAGGCATAATTCTTAATCCCAACCCCATTCCACAACCTAATGCCTAGCACTTATGAATATGGTATGAAGTCCAGCATTATGTCACATGACACAGATGGCCTTATAAAATTCAGAGATTTTTTGGGTAGTTCTAATCACTTAGTTCCTTTAAGAGTTAACTTCTTGCAGAAAAGAAGGTTGGAGTCAAAGCACAAAGTGGGTATCAACTTTATTATTGTTGGCTTTAAGATATGCAGGCAGCCTCTAAGAGCAAAGAAACACCCCAAGCAGTATCCTACAAACTGCCAGTAAGAAAATGAGTTGTCAGGCCTACAACCTCAAATAAATTCAGCCAACAATTTAAATGAGTATGGATGTGGATTTTTCCCTAAAGCCTCCATATAAAAGCCTAGCCTAACACTTTGACTTTAGCACTTTAAGACCCTAAGCAAAGCCAATTTAGCCCTTCCTGCATCTCTGTGACACCAATAAATAGTGTAAACTACTACATTTATACTCCTATGCTATATATAACAGTATAGTGACAAAGATAAAACTGATAAACTATTACAAATAAAAAATAAAATGACAATTCAATTAAATACACAAAGAATCTAAAAAAGGCATTATCTCTCTAAAGAAAATATACAAACGGCCAATAAACACACAAAAAGATCCTCAATAGTTATCAAGAAAATGCAACTCAAAACCACAATGGGATACTTGTTTACACCCACTAGGATGGCTATTTTTAAAAAAGTCAGAATATGGAAAAGGAATTTGGTGCAGCTGCTTTAGAAAAGTCTGATAATTTCTCAAATAGGTAAATAGTTACTATATGATCCAGCATATATCCAGGAGAAATTAAACATGTCCACAAGAAAACTGGTACATGAAGGTTCACAGCAGCATTACTAAAATAGTTAATCAACATACCCATCGACTGATCAATATTACTCAGAAATAAGATTACTCAGCAATAAAAAGAAATAAAGTTCTACTTTATGATATACATAGATAAGCCTTGAAAACATGCTAAGTGAAGGAAACCAGACACAAAAGATCACCTATGAATCACTTACATGAAATACACAAAATGGGCAAATCTACACAGAAAATGAATGGGGACTAGCTACAATGGAGGTTTTAGGGCTTGATAGCAAAGAGGCATGGGGTTTCTTCCTAGGATAATAAAATCTAAAGCTCCACAGTGGTGATGGATTCATTTGCCAATATACTAACAGCCAAAAATTATATGCTTTAAATGATGACTGCATATATATTGCTTCTCGGCCTTTTGGCTAAGATCAGGTGTAAATGATGACTGTACAGTATGTGAATTACATTTCAATAAAACTGTTATGAGGCAGTAATATAAATGCATACACCTGACTGGAGGGGAAGAAACAGCAAGAAGCATAAAGATTTGGATGCCTTGACCTAGGACCTTCATTTCTTCAGAATTTTTCATAAGAAAGAAATTCATAGAAGCAACTGCTATGTGCCAAAATAATTATTTTTTAAATCACAGAAAAAAAGTAGAAACAAGCGTCTAAACTTAAAGAAAAACTATGATGCAAATGTTTATCTATAAAGAATATTAAATAAATGCTTATTAGTTCATCTGATATTAATGAGCATCTTACATAATAAGCACTGATGTTAGGAGGGTAAAGCTGTAATAGGAACTAGTCATTCTTATTCTAATAGGAAGTAGCAAATAATGACAATGATGTGCTCATTACAAGGGAATCAGTGAAGACTGCCCAGAACTAACACAAAGAGACCCAAAAAGTTAGCATAAAGGGAAGGCACAAAGAGTGGAAAAGAAAGAAAACAGTATTTTTGTATGGACACTCAGATGTGAAAGTGAATATAAGCATTCCAACAACTGAAAGAGATCAAAACACAATATCTAAGTAAGGGACTATCAACCAAAAGATAAAGCCCAAATATATAAGGGCCAAATTGTACTAGACCTGTATACCTCTCTAGGTATACAGATAGTGACAAGATTTGAAGCAAAATGAGGACAAAAAAATAGCTTAGAAAGTTTTAGAAAGAATACTCCGGCTATAGCATAGAAATCAGACTATAGAAGAGTAAGGCCACAAATGAGGAAATCAGTGAAGAGGGTACTGTACAAAGACTACAGGTATCTGATTTGGAGCAGTTATTTACAGTGGAAGTCAAAAAAGATTCAAAGCATATTTTGGTGGTAGACTTGCCAGACCTCAGTGACTCTTGAGGTATGTACAGAATATGGACAGGAGCTATCAAGGATGTCTGTCATATCCCCAAAAGCTAGGTGTACAGCGCTTTATCTGAGCCCATCTTAGAGGAAAAACAAGAATTAGAAAGGGAGATAGGGAAGTTCTATAGTCTGAAGCACCAATGAGGTGTTCTAGCGCACTGAGCCCTTAGCCATCCAACACACAGTTCTGGAGATCCAGATTCTAAATTAGAAGGTATTATCATATAGAACCTAAGTCAAACCACAGACGAGGACGACACTGCCTAGATTTTACAGAGTATAACAAAACGGTGGCCAGTACAGAGAGAACACAAGGAAACACCAAAATTTAAGAGAGGAAAACGAAACCAGCAAACAGCAGGAACAGAGAGATAAGCAGAAATATCAGAGGAATGATATACATAAAAAAAGCCAAAAGTCATTAGCATCAAATGGTGCCTAGAGATCCAGATATTACAACTATAAGAAAATGGAAAAAGTCTGACCAACTATTCAGTGAAAAGTAGCACAGAAAGCTCACAATTTCAATTTGGGAAAAAAAAATGTCTAAATATGCAAAGTATACATAGAATATGTGCAAATAATGAGAATAAATACAAATAAAGTTATGATTTAAATTAAAATCTGTGATTACGCTTTTCCATTAAAAATATTACAAGTGGTCTTTCTCTTCCTTTTCCTACTAATCAACTGGTCCAATAGCCATCAGATGGGAACATGCAAACTTAAAGTGTCCGAATTGATATTATGTTTAGAGTAATATGAAAACACACAGGTAGGGGAACTAGGTTAGGCAGAAGAGGGGAAGTTAAAATAGGTTAACATGAAGTTTAAAAAAAGTATTCCACAGAGTACAGTATACTGACCACACACAAAGGGAAAAACAATCAACTAAAGCTCCACAGGGCTCAAGTAAAAGGTGTACATGAGTGAGTAAAGAACAAGATTAAAGAGAAATGTGGAGGTGAAGACAGAAGGACCTTGTACACTCAGCTATAAAGTATGGACCTTAATCTCATAGCTGGATCTATACAATAGTACAATGTGATCAATGTCACATAGGAAATGCAAAAGCAAAATATTTTTCTTAATGTCTATTTTAAAATATCCTCAATGATAATTCACTAGAAGTGGCAAAGACAACTAGGAAAATACAAGAACAAACCTAGCTATTCCCATCACCAAGACTTTCACATGGGAAGTTAGGAACTATAAGCCAGTAACACCCATCCAAGAAGTCATTTCCTTGGGGAAACCTGAGCTTTAGCTATGTCAAGAAGGTAAAAGATTTACCGAATAACACAGCAACAAAAAGGGATGTCAATAATGAGAGAAGTCAGGAATGAAATAACAGAGTAATATGAAAATCACATTTTATATACTATTTAATACAAACCATGTGCAATTAATTTCAAAATGGATAATGTAGTAATGCTTAAATTCTATGGTAGTAGGAAAGAGCTCTTATAATGCTACTACTTGCCACGTGATGGGCTTGTGGCTCCATAGTTCAACTTAAAAAAAGCATTATAAGACAACTACTAAGGACAACTCTTCTCCCTCTGTATGTAGAGTAAGAAGAAAAGCAATCATGTGACTGCTATGTCTTAAAACCTACTGTTAGTTCAACTATAATTAGAGAAAATGCTATTTTACATCAAGAGGAACCTCAGACTCCTTATCTTCCCCCTTTTAAAATATATTCATTTTTTAAACACATGCTGTACATATATTATCAAATAAGATGATTAGAGAATAAGTCCAATTATCAGTAAGTAGGCCAGAACACTACAAAATTTATACTATCGTGTTATGATATTAAAATACTTTTATGCAGGAGGAAACATACTATCGTGTTATGATATTAAAATACTTTTATGCAGGAGGAAACAGTCCTATTAACCCACTTACCTACAAATAGTTCAAAAGGACTATTAAAGTTATTAATCATAATTTTTCCATAATCTGATGAACAAATCAATACATTTTAAAAGTGTCTCTGACAACAAATCAACATACCTGCTGGAGAGACATGAGGACAGCTGCTCATTTTTAGCAACTTGAGAGTATCACTGTTGTTGGCCACTAGTACTTTGAGGGATGGATCATCTACTGGAGTATCATCTATCTTAAGCGAGGACAGGGATTTGGAGTTTACAAACACAACTGTGAGTGCAGAGATAAAGTGAGACTGAAAAGCAAGAAGGTTAAAACACTGTTTTAAATTTTAGTAATAACAGAGGTTTCCATGTAATACTAGATATGGTTCACTTGAATCCTAATGATGTATTTTAAAACTGTTAAAGGGCTAGAACCACTATACTCTATTCTGGATATATGGTTTTTTTGAAAAAAGTTACCAACTGCTATCTTTAAGAGGAACCTTTTTACCTATAGGTGAAAAATGAATATCAAGCTTTCGGAAGTCTCTAAATCACAGTGACCAGTGGTAAGTAAAATGAAGAAGCCTGGAAGCCAAAATGAGAACACCTTTCAGACACTTCCCTTTACTATATCCAGTAGCCTTACTCTTGAGTTTTGTAACACTAATCTGCATAGTAATGATCAATTTACAATTGCAATAATGAGCCAGGTGTGGTGGCACATGCCTGTAAACCCAGCACTAGGTAGGCCAAGGCAGGAAGACTGCCATGAGTTCAGGGCCAGACTGAACTACACAAAACCCTGTCAATAAAAAAAAAAAAAAAAAAAAAAAAAAAAAAAAAAAAAAAAAACTTCCCGCACAAAAAAAAAAAAATAAAAATTAGTAACAATTCAAAAGCTATTAACTCTTTTGGAACATGGCAGCTCATATAAAATATGACTCTAATAAAACAACCAAAGTCATACTTAAATAAAATGGTAATACATGCCCCAACACATTTCTCTATCATAACCAACCTTAGCTTCATAAATTCTCTATAGCACGACAAAGAAGATGAAGGCAAGTTAACGGAGAAGAAAGTACAATGAAATTCTACCTTCTTGGTCATATTCCCTAAAGCAATCTCTGTACTGCGATTAACTGGCTAACAACTAGAATTTTCATTAAGTAACTTGATGTTAATATCTTTCTAATATTTTCATATCAAACTCAAATGTATATGGTGCAATCACATTTCCTTACTAATATGTATATCTATATCATTGATTTCTTTCCAATGGCCCTGCTTTATTTATGGTCAAGTAACTTCTTCTATGGTCAAATACATTTTTTCTACGTTATCTATTTCTCTCAGGATTTCAAGACACAATAACACCTATTTCAACCTTTTCTACAAATCCTTAAAAGGAAAAGGACAATAGCATATGCATCGAAAGTCTATTTAATAAGGAAAGAAGCAGTCTTAGCTGTTATCAATGGCTTTCAATGAGCACTAGATTTTTGCAGTGATAACCCCAAATAAGAAACCCAGAAACTATGTTCAACATACTAGTTAATATGGTACATTTTACATACTGCATGTAAATATATGAATCTATAGGCACACAGAAAAATCAATACAGAACATTTCATTTCCCATATGAAACCTGAAGAAAGCTGTTGTTCTGTATCCTGTAACTCAACTAACAAAACTTAGGCACCAAGAGCCAAGGATTTAGCTCAAAGGCGCTGCGCCTGCCTCACAGGTACAAGGTCATGAGTTTGATCAGCACTACTGCAAAAAAAAAAAAAAAAAAAAAACTTAGGCACCTTTTATCAACTACCTTATTTTACTAATTTAAGAGAATATTGTAGTTGTGAGAGAGGCTATCTCTATGTACAAGACAATGTTCAAATTTAAAGTGAATATAAACAGTTAACTCTCCACAAAAAAGTTCTTTTTACATAAAACCTGTACAGCAATGCAAGTTGTACTGATACTACCTATGCTTAAGAACACATTTTTATACTTGGCCAGAAGAGTTTGTTTTTTTTTGGTACGGGGATTGAACTACGGAGTTGTTTTTTTTTTGAAGAGTTTGTGTAAGTAGGCCACACTGGCACTCTCTACTTTTTTTAATTCTAACTTCCCCAATGTATTCTGAAAGCCAAAGAAAGTACGTATATATGTTCTTTTTTCTGACATGGCTCTTGCTTTTACTTAATTTCTTTAAGAACATCCTAGAGAATCTTCAATAAACTCATTTACTCTTTAACCTTATCAATCAAGAAATACTAAGTGATTTTTAAAATACGGTTTTCTCAACAGTAACTTGTTTTCCATTATATACATCACTTTCCTTATACTCTTTATTGTCAATACAGTGTTTAGGCTTTCACTGGATTTCTCAGTAATAGTAAAAAAACAAACAAACAAACAAACAAAAAAACCAAACAAAACAAAACCAGGAGATACCTTTGGTAAATCCATAAAGCTTGGCCGAGCAGTTGAAATAAGTCCAAGTGTTTTTAAAGAGCAATTCACAAGCTGCGATAAAATATCACAAGCTGCTTCAGCTGATTCTTTGCTGCTGTCCACCTTAATAAAGAAAACACCTTTTATCCATACACATATTAATAATTCTGCATATTTTAATTTTTAAAAAGAAACTTAGTTTATTGCATTATAAATGTAAAGAACATTTACTTTCAACTGTCCACTCACCCCTACAACTTCAGCCTGAGAATTAAGCGCAATTGTTAAGACAGTCTTCATTATAAGACATCTATTTAGTATTGGAAGCACTATTTATTTCAAACTGATTATAATGGAATATATAAATTTACAGACTTTGAAAAACAGTTATGTATTTTGGTAGATCAAATAATAGATTTTAAGTATAGAGTCTATGGTAAACATTTTAAAGTATCTGAAACTAATGATTATTTACTTAGAATTTTCGGATGAGCAAAACCCGGAATTCATTAACATTTCCAATGGAATGATGTTTAATAAGGTAAAATGAAGTGCTGGGAGACTAAGTCCAACCTGAGCAACTTAGTAAGACTTTGTCTCACTGAGGATTTAGCTCAGTGGCACTGCACCTGCCTCGCAAGCACCAGGCTGGGAGTTTGATTCCTGGTACTAAATAAATAAATGGATGAATGAAAAAAATAAAATAAAGGGCTGGATGTGTAGCTTGGTGTAAAGGCCCTGGGTTCAAACCCCAGTACTGTAAAACTACAGTAATTAAATAAATGAAGTAATAAGGATGTTCAACTAATTAAGCATGAAAATATGAACTGAAATAGGTAGTTCAAAGTAATATCATTAGTCTACTTTCCAGATTCATGTATATTACTTTATCCCAATACTGCTTAAAAGCTGGTATAAAATACACTCATTTATATTACAATTTCAGAGGTATTTACAATACTATCCTTTGGTTAAGTTTCTTTACACCAAGGGTTCTCTAAGCATGGTTCCCAAACAACAGCATCAACATGACTAGAGAACTTAAGATAAGCAAATTCTCATCTGAATCAGAAACTTTGTGGATGGAACCTGGTGATCTTGGCTGTTGTGAGTCTTCTGTGATTCTGTTGCATGTAAATTCTGTGAACCACTGTTCTAGACTAGTAACTGATTAAAGCCAAGCCTACAGCCAGTGATGATTTAAATATTTTGGAGAATCCAGAAGACTTCTCTCATGTGTCTTTTTTCTAATGTGTAAATCAAAAATTATTTCTTCTGGAAAATAAACAACGCTTGATTAAAAAAATGTTAAATTTATAGCACAAATGATTTTGTAAGAGTTATACAGCTGGACACCTGATTTGTGTCACAGGGCTGTAAAAACAATAAAACTGACCCAGCCAATCTTCTGCATAGAACTGATCTTGAAGATCTTCCAGATGAGTGTATTTATTCTTTAGAACATTTACCATTACAATACTTTTAGACGATTCAAAGATGACTAAAACCAAAGGGAAGGCTCTTCAGGTTCCTTCCCTGGGAGAAGAGGAATGAAGAATTGCTGCTTTTTTGTTTTATTTCCCCCCATTTTGGTACCCTTGCCCCTAGTTAAGGTTATCTGTCAGATAACACGTAAGATATCCAATTAAATTTTAACTTCAGGTAAACAATTTTTTAATATTAAGTATATGTCAAGCATTGCACAGGTCATGTCTATACTGAAACTTAACCATTAATTAGCTGAAATTCAAATTTAACTGGGCAGCCTACTTTTTTTTTGCATTTTTTTCTGGGAAAGACACAATCTATCCAGCTACTCTCACTACCAAGTCTTTTCTTCTTGGAAACCTATAGGAGAATAGAAGAAATGACATTCTTGGAAGACGAGCCTTAGTTTGATAAGAAGCTGCCTTAATTACGGTTAAAAGCTCTAGGTTAAGAACTCCTGCTTGACCCACTTAGCAACAAGTACAATAAAGCAGGCATTCACTCACTGCCACAAAAATCTTATGTTTACTTCAAGTTTTAGTAAGCAAGCCCATATTTCATCATTCATTTCCAAACAGAACATGACAAGCCTATATTCACACTCAAACCCCTATTTCTCAAAGTATTCTGGACATCTCAAAAACCACCCTACTTCATTGATCACATTGTTATATGATATACAAAATGTTCCTTCAAGCAAAGAAAAGCAGCGAACAGTTCTCTATCTTCCACCCATTCTTTACTTTGTTCTAAAATATATTCCTCTAACCCTTTTGAATAGTTTCTATGCCATGTTTGCATTTGAAGATCTCATATCAAAAAGCCAGAAAAATAACTCTCAAACCCTATAAATAGAAAAATGCAGTTGTTTTGCTCAACAGTAATATCCTCAACCATAATATCCCAAATTTTTATTTTTTTATTGAATATTCCTTTTTCCTCATATTTGTGTGCAACAATTCACTGCTAATTTACAGCTTTGGTCAATGGTTTATGCTTATTTAGTGGATGTGTTTGCTCTTTTAAGAAATTACTAAATAATTATAATGGAGTCATTTAGCTCCAAAAATCATTACAATTTGTTATAGCATCTAAGACATGATAAATTCTAACTCTTAAAAAGTTTACAAGGGGGCCTTCTGAACCACTGGTGGTTCCAGCCAGCAGAAACATGTTACCCACATTCCCTTAGGCAAATATTTTAAAGCTATGAGATGCACTGGTCAGGATGCCAAAAGCCACTAAAAATGCTTTGTTGGGTGAGGTGGAATCTCAGTGTTGTTTTCATCTGCATCTCTCGAATGACCAGTGATTCTTAAAAAGTTTACAAGGGGGCCTTCTGAACCACTGGTGGTTCCAGCCAGCAGAAACATGTTACCCACATTCCCTTAGGCAAATATTTTAAAGCTATGAGATGCACTGGTCAGGATGCCAAAAGCCACTAAAAATGCTTTGTTGGGTGAGGTGGAATCTCAGTGTTGTTTTCATCTGCATCTCTCGAATGACCAGTGATGTGGAACATTTTTTCATATATTTTCTTGCTGCTTTCACTTCTTTGTATGAGAAATGTCTGTTCATTTCGGATGCCCATTTTTGGATCGGGTCTTTATATTTGGGGGGACTGATTGTTTTGAGTTCTTTATATATCCTTGATAATAGTCCTTTGTCTGAGGTACAGCTGGTAAAAATTTTT